TCCACAGAAAATAGACCCTTCTAGAAATAGAATCACCCTGCGTATAGCCACGCGAGGCTATTGGCTTTAAGGGATTACGGCAGGATTACGCTAGATATAGCGCGCCAGTACATCCCGAGCCTAGTCGGTGATATAACTATAATAACAGGATAAACCAAAGGATAATGGAAATGGAGGAATAGGAAACCAAATGAGATGAGATATAGACCAAATGAATCAGGATAAAAAGAGGAATGAAATAGAAAGGAAATATGGAAAGGGGAAATTGGTGTAACGGGGTCGTACTCTCACACTTCCCCCCCTCAAAGCTGGGTGGTAGACGTAACACCCTGCATGACAAGGTAGTCGCGAAGAGGACGACGGGCGTTACCCATGTCGGATTCAGAGACGCAGCGTCAGAAGGATCAAAATCCTTCCAGCAAAGAAGAAGCTCCAGAGTGCCATTCTGACAACGACGGTGTTCGCGCACGTAATTGTCCCATGGCGTGGATGAACACGGGCGACGACAATGGTTAGCATTCGGTGTAGAGCGTGGTTGGTCTTGATAGGGTTTAAGAAGCTGGTATGGAAGGCAGTATGGATCTTCCAAGTGGCTGATAGGCGGAAGCGGAAGTTGACTGAAGTGACATTTGCTTCAAAGAGGATAGTCCTGCAGAAGCAAGGTTGAAGCTTGGATGGAAGTTGGCTGATGTCGAGATTATGGTCTCGAGAAGGGTAGTGATGAGTTGCCAAGTGCTTGTGCTGATGTTGGATGTCCAAGAGGTGCTTGTGTGGTCGATGTACAAAGATGGTGGACGATGGCGATGAAATCGGAAGCCAGTTGGACTGTGGCTGGTATGGTTAGCTGTTGTGGTGTGATCGGGTGGCGTCCGTAACAGACGAAGTACAGCGTCTGTCCAGTAGCGGGGTCAGGAGCATACTTGTAGGCAAACTCCAGGACGGGCAGATGCAAGTCGGAGTTGGAGATGTGAATGGTTGGAACAGTGTGCTGTAACGTGCAGATGAATGGCTATGTTGTCCGATCCGTGCATGCTGTTACCCGCATCTGGTCCACGTATGAAGATCTCCAAGTGTTGGTGGTATGGCAATCATGTCATAGTACTGCTTCTGTCGAGCTGGTCCATGCCGTAGTGTTGTCGCGAGTCGTACCCACTCGGTATCGTAGTGCTGCGGGATGGAGAGCAGAATCACTAGTAGTAACCCTGTCCACCACGCGGTCCGCTACTCACATTGCCTTGAGTACAACAGCGCATGCGAAGTGCTGCTCAGTGTATCCCTTGTGTTCAGAACCATGCGAGGGGTTGGTACCATAAACGCGGAGCTGGTAACTTCCAGAATCGGCGCCAAAGTAGTTTCCCTTGGTGGTTGCTCAAGCAAGGAATCTCTGCTACGTAGATATCCCATGGTGATGGGTTAGGACCTCTGGGAATATTAGGGGTATTCCCAAGTAATCCTCTCCCATTTCCAGATGAGCATTGCTGACTGCCAATCCAGTATGACCTTATGCAATTCCAATTTAGCACGGAGGCCATCGGTAGGCATCGGTGTCTGGGCGCACATATTGGGATAGGTCTTCTGGTGCCATCATGTGTTGTCTCATTCTGTCACTGTCCTTGAAGTAGCGTTGATGTAGAAGATGTCTCAGCTACTCAGCATCGATGTTGAAGTCTGCTCCATTTCGGCAAACAGGGGTGCTGTTGGAGGTACGCGGAGGCCACTATCCGGAGTGGCGTCGGCGCTCCATTCCACGCCTATCTGCTTCCGTGGAGTTGGTGCTGGTGATGGATTGGTTGTGACGCAGGTTTTATGACTTTAAGGAAAGCCATAGGCCATGAGGACTTGTAGACCGGTAGAGTACCGTTGTCCTCCCATCCTCATATGAGCAAATATCTTCTGCTCTTAAAGGTATTCGGCATTGCCATGTTGTTTCCTCGCATAGTGGTATCTCCTCCCCACTTGCTGGAAATCATAGTATTGTGCCTGGCCGTGACTTTACGATCCACTGGAATATAATCCAGCATTATCTCCATTGAGCGGAGAATCATCCATCAGGGTTTGGATATGAATGTTCTGTCGAGTCTTCTGCTGCGGCGGCGGCGGCGGTTGCGACGACGGCGACGGCGGCAGCTGCTGCAGAGAATTCTCTCAACTCGTACAGGTTGAAGGAGAATCCATCAAATCCCCCTTCCAGCAGAGTGTTCCTGATGGGTATAACAGGTGTAACTACCAAGAACACGTGCACATTGGTACACATGTGTTGCTCCATTGCTGCCGGTGATTGTTTCATTTGAGGGTGTGAAGAGAAATTTGCTTCTCCCCTCAATGTATCCACGGGTAGCAATTCCTGGTATGCTCATCCGTGCCTCCGATGTACGGTCGGTAGAGCGCGTGATCGTGTTGTAGTAGTCCGCATCTCCCTCATTTGTTGACACCTCGTGTTGCTTGACGTTCTCCTGCATCGTCGAAGTTACGCTGATGCTTGTAACGCTTCGGCTTCTGGTAGAATCGCCTCCAATGCATGTGTCGTAGGGTCGCTAGTGAACGAGTACTTGCCAGATCAGAGGTTAATTACTCCTCAATCTGTCAAGCATCGTGACATGCACGGAAAAAATTTCCACGCAGGTCATTAACACCTGGAATCGCGACGCATGATTGGTGTGTCGCCTCGTGAGGTTGATGTTGAGACTGCTCCAATCAATCACTCCGGATGGCTGAGATTCTTGATGAAGACGAATCGATCAGCTCCTGTTACGAAATAGTGTCTCGCTGGCCTTGACGAGACGGGTTCACTGCGTCGTCGTTGCGTGCGAAATCTGCTCCTTCGCAACAACTTGATATCCAGAATATTGCAAGAGAAAACGGCTACTTCTCTGCAATCCCATAGCTTGTCGATCCAATTTATGAGATAAAGTATCTCATGGATGGAGAACATGTCTTCACGCAGCTCCATTGTTTTTCTTGGGTGAAGATCCGCTGTGTTGATGTCGATCCATTTTTAACGAAGATGACTTCGTCAAAATAACTCGATCGTTATCGACATCAGTCAGAAGATGCGTCGATTCTGCAGTCGCTGGTCACGAATGTTGTCTCCATGATGATGATTTCCCATAGTGTAGTCTCCGCTGCATTCGTGCCGTTGATTCCGCATCGATCCGACGATCCACGTTCTCCTGTCATTTTTCTGCAAGCAGATATTACCAAGTAGGTAATACTCTTGCAGATTTCTGACTTCGCAGATGATTTGCGCACCATATTCGTCACCAATTAGAGGAGTCTGAATTTGGTTGTCCAAATGTTGTCAACGCTGTTGAAGGCGGCCAATTTCTGGTTCTGCGCGTCATTCTCCCTTCGTGCAGAAGTCGCGCTCCATCTCGTCCGTTGAAGTAGAAGTCAATCCGACGGTCCTAAATCCAAACGATCTGAGGGGCCTCCTGAGTCCCGTTCAGCAGCTTTCGGTGCACGGGCTGACTCGTTTACTGCAGCAATTCTCGGTCGTCGATGTTGGCTGTCGTACGATCGGACGTTCCGAAGAACTTCGCGGCTTGCGAGGTCCCGTTCCCAGTCGCGCCGAAACGCAAACTCCCTCAGATGGATTTCGTTTTCGCCTCGGTCGATCTGAAGCGTCGAATCTCCATCGGACGGATGTCGTCGATCGAGCCTCCGCAGAGTTCCGCGCAACTCCAAGTGTTGTCGCGAACTGCGAACTTCTCCGAATGTCGCAGGGGATGTTCCGCCGGAACTGACGCGCTCGCCAGGTCGAGGCCGTTTGCCCCCGCGAAAAATCGGCACCGTCGATGTAGTCCATCGAACGGTTGGCGAGGCATCTCGCCTTCGAAGGGGACCCCAGGTGCAACTGCGAGAGGTGAGTCGAAACTTAAATGAAAGTGCATTGTACTTACAGGAATTGAAGTTTCGACTCCATCCTCCGCGTGCTCCTGGGGGCCCAGCGGTTAAGCGTTGAGCTGAAACCTTGGCTCTGATTACCAAGTGTCACAGGATCGAATGTCCCGAGGAAAGGTTTGCTCAATGTTGCACTATCAATCAGTACAAGGTGTTTTTATACTTCCAGAGTACATCAGGTCACCAGGTTTATCCTATCCACAGAAAATAGACCCTTCTAGAAATAGAATCACCCTGCGTATAGCCACGCGAGGCTATTGGCTTTAAGGGATTACGGCAGGATTACGCTAGATATAGCGCGCCAGTACATCCCGAGCCTAGTCGGTGATATAACTATAATAACAGGATAAACCAAAGGATAATGGAAAAGGAGGAATAGGAAACCAAATGAGATGAGATATAGACCAAATGAATCAGGATAAAAAGAGGAATGAAATAGAAAGGAAATATGGAAAGGGGAAATTGGTGTAACGGGGTCGTACTCTCACACCCAGGAGGGGCACGACGAGGCCCAGGAGGGGCGCTACAGGGGCCCAGGAGGGGCGCGACGGGGCCCAGGAGGGGCGCTACGAAGCCCAGGAGGGGCGCGACGAGGCCCAGGAGGTGCGCTACGGGGCCTAGGAGGGGCGCGACGAGGCCCAGGAGGGGCGCTACGGGGCCCAGGAGGGGTGCGACGGGGTATGGGAGGGGCGCGACGGGGCCCAGGAGGGGTGCTACAGGGCCCAGGAAGGGCGCGACGGGGCCCAGGAGGGGCGCTACGGGGCCCAGGAGGGGCGCGACGGGGCCCAGGAGGGGCGCTACGGAGCCCAGGAGGGGCGCGACGAGGCCCAGGAGGGGCGCTACGGGGCCTAGGAGGGGCGCGGCGGGGCCCAGGAGGGGTGCTACGGGGCCCAGGAGGGGCGCGACGGAGCTAGGGGGGTCGCGACGGGGCTAGGGGCACGACGGGGCTAGGAGGGAGGCACGGCGGGGCCGAGCTAGGGGGGGCGAGCGGAAGTGGTAGGTGGGGGGGGGGATCCTAACCTACGCGTGATACCATATCAGAATTAGAGAAGTGAATGATAGAGTGAGAGTACACACAGATATACCTAAGTGTTGTACCCTCTAAGAGGTGACCCTATACAGTCTATACAAACATGACAAATACACATGTTTGACAGAGTGTTCCATTTCGGTGATGCTGCAAACAATGCAAGAGGCTAAAAGCTACACTCTATTCAGCGTTGAAGCTCCTTCAGGAACTAATGTCAGGCATCTGAATAGCTCCTGTCGCCAGATGGTACAGCGCAGTACCGTATTGCTACTGGATACGGTACCCGCTCAACATCCAGCTTCACAACAGACCAGTCTTCTACAGTAGCATACACGAGTCGAAGATCACGAGGGCGACTGTGATGGTTGAAGTCATGGGTTTCACATGAGCGAGCAATCCGCAGGAAGGTCCCCTCCTTGCAACATATCAGGCAACCTGGAATAGTAGGTAGGGAAGAGTAGTGCCATGGAAGGGACAAAGCAGCACTGGTAAGATCCAAATGAACGGCATGCTGTCCACGAAACGGCCAGCAATAAGTTCAGTCAGTGTAACCAGGGAATGGTAAAAAAAAGGAGGCAGGGATGGAGTGTGGGATGGAGACAATGGAGAGTGAACGAGAGGGACCAGTGGCACTCACACTGGCAGCCCGTCTTCACCCATCTCCAGGCCCGGGGCAATCTCCTTGATCATCTCAGGGGGCGGCTGCCCGCACGCCTGCATCTCGCCCATCACCTCCATGATCCCCGCAAAGTCGTCCGGCCGCTCCTCGTACAGCTGGCACAGCCGCCCAATCGCGCGCTGCTGCCGCTCGTACCGCGCCAGGTCAGCGGGCGGCAGGGCGGCGGCGTTGGCGGCGAGCCAGGCAGGGTAGCGCGCATGGAGGTCCCTCATTGGCCCGTGGAGCACGTCCTTGGAGAGCAGCTGCTGCATCACAGCGTCCATCAGCCCCTGCATGTCCTGCAGAGGGGGGGTGGGATGGGGATGGGCGGGGAGAGGGGAAGGGGGTGAGGCAAGGCAGATGACAGCAGCTGCTGCTGCATCACCGCGTCCATCAGCCCCTGCATGTCCTGGTAGGGGGTGGGGGGAGGAGAGGGTGAGTGCAGACGGGCGTGAGGAGACCCTTGTGTGTGTTAATGTGAGCCCTTTCCATTGGCCTGTGCCGTGCAGCACGTCCTTTGAGAGCAGCTGCAGCATCATCGGGTCCATCAGCCCCTGCATGTCCTGGTAGGGGGCAGGCAGATGGTCAAGGCTCAAGCGGATAAGGGGGGAGGGGGAGGGGAAGAGGGTGAGGGTGCAGGTAGAAGGTTGCGCGAGGAGGCTTGCACGCAGCTTTGAATAAAGCTCTGCAGCACATCCTTTGACAGCAGGTCCTGCACCACCGCATCCATCAGGCCGCACATGTCAGGGTAGGGAGAGGGTGGAGGGATGGATAGGAAGAGGGAAGGAGGTTAGGCAAGGCAAAAGGCAGCAGCTGCTGCTGCATCCCTGCGTCCATGAGGCCCTGCACGTGCTGGTAAGGAGAAGGTGGAGCGAGGGGGGAGGCGGAATCAAGGGAAAGGCAGAAGGCGGAAGGGGAGGGTTGTGTGTGGATGGGCATGGGAGCATAAGGAGCGCCCTTGGAGAGAAGCAGCACTCCTCGTGGTCCCATGCCCATCTACACACGACCCTCTGCGCCCAGCAGCCTGCATGCCCTGAGAAGAGGCCCTGCGTGTCCTTCCTGGTAGGGAGAGGGCAACTGACACGTGGTGGAGGAAGGGGTGAGGGGATTCAGGGGTAAGGGGAGAAATGGATGAGGGGAGAAAAGGATGAGCGGAGAAATGGATGAGGGGAGAAATGGATGAGGGGAGAAATGGATGAGGGGAGAAATGGATGAGGGGAGAAATGGATGAGGGGAGAAATGGATGAGGGGAGAAATGGATGAGGGGAGAAATGGATGAGGGGAGAAATGGATGAGGGGAGAAATGGGTGAGGGGAGAAATGGATGAGGGGAGAATCAATCTCAACTCAAACATGCAAGGCCATGCCAGCAGCTGTGGCAGTGCGAGCCAGGAAAGGCCTTGCGTTGTGACAGCATTTCGCAACAACGGCATGGGGCTAGAATACCTGACGTGGAAGGATAAAGCATGGCAATAGAGAGCAGCGCGCAAAGGAAGAAATGACCTGTGCTCTGTTGTGCTCTGTTGTGCTCTGTTGTGCTCTGTTGTGCTCTGTTGTGCTCTGTTGTGCTCTGTTGTGCTCTGTTGTGCTCTGTTGTGCTCTGTTGTGCTCTGTTGTGCTCTGTTGTGCTCTGTTGTGCTCTGTTGTGCTCTGTTGTGCTCTGTTGTGCTCTGTTGTGCTCTGTTGTGCTCTGTTGTGCTCTGTTGTGCTCTGTTGTGCTCTGTTGTGCTCTGCTGTGCTCTGCTGTGCTCTGTTGTGCTCTGTTGTGCTCTGCTGTGCTCTGTTGTGCTCTGCTGTGCTCTGCTGTGCTCTGTTGTGCTCTGCTGTGCTCTGTTGTGCTCTGTTGTGCTCTGCTGTGCTCTGCTGTGCTCTGTTGTGCTCTGTTGTGCTCTGTTGTGCTCTGTTGTGCTCTGTTGTGCTCTGTTGTGCTCTGTTGTGCTCTGTTGTGCTCTGTTGTGCTCTGCTGTGCTCTGCTGTGCTCTGCTGTGCTCTGCTGTGCTCTGCTGTGCTCTGCTGTGCTCTGCTGTGCTCTGCTGTGCTCTGTTGTGCTCTGTTGTGCTCTGCTGTGCTCTGATGTGCTCTGCTGTGCTCTGTTGTGCTCTGCTGTGCTCTGTTGTGCTCTGTTGTGCTCTGTTGTGCTCTGTTGTGCTCTGCTGTGCTCTGCTGTGCTCTGTTGTGCTCTGCTGTGCTCTGCTGTGCTCTGCTGTGCTCTGTTGTGCTCTGTTGTGCTCTGTTGTGCTCTGTTGTGCTCTGTTGTGCTCTGTTGTGCTCTGTTGTGCTCTGTTGTGCTCTGTTGTGCTCTGCTGTGCTCTGCTGTGCTCTGCTGTGCTCTGTTGTGCTCTGTTGTGCTCTGCTGTGCTCTGCTGTGCTCTGCTGTGCTCTGTTGTGCTCTGTTGTGCTCTGTTGTGCTCTGTTGTGCTCTGTTGTGCTCTGTTGTGCTCTGTTGTGCTCTGTTGTGCTCTGTTGTGCTCTGTTGTGCTCTGTTGTGCTCTGTTGTGCTCTGTTGTGCTCTGTTGTGCTCTGTTGTGCTCTGTTGTGCTCTGTTGTGCTCTGCTGTGCTCTGCTGTGCTCTGTTGTGCTCTGCTGTGCTCTGCTGTGCTCTGTTGTGCTCTGTTGTGCTCTGCTGTGCTCTGTTGTGCTCTGTTGTGCTCTGTTGTGCTCTGCTGTGCTCTGTTGTGCTCTGTTGTGCTCTGTTGTGCTCTGCTGTGCTCTGTTGTGCTCTGCTGTGCTCTGCTGTGCTCTGTTGTGCTCTGCTGTGCTCTGTTGTGCTCTGTTGTGCTCTGCTGTGCTCTGTTGTGCTCTGTTGTGCTCTGTTGTGCTCTGTTTTGCTCTGTTGTGCTCTGCTGTGCTCTGCTGTGCTCTGCTGTGCTCTGTTGTGCTCTGTTGTGCTCTGTTGTGCTCTGTCGTGCTCTGTTGTGCTCTGTTGTGCTCTGTTGTGCTCTGTTGTGATCTGTTGTGCTCTGTTGTGCTCTGTTGTGCTCTGTTGTGCTCTGTTGTGCTCTGTTGTGCTCTGTTGTGCTCTGTTGTGCTCTGTTGTGCTCTGTTGTGCTCTGCTGTGCTCTGCTGTGCTCTGTTGTGCTCTGTTGTGCTCTGCTGTGCTCTGTTGTGCTCTGCTGTGCTCTGCTGTGCTCTGCTGTGCTCTGCTGTGCTCTGTTGTGCTCTGTTGTGCTCTGCTGTGCTCTGCTGTGCTCTGTTGTGCTCTGTTGTGCTCTGTTGTGCTCTGTTGTGCTCTGTTGTGCTCTGTTGTGCTCTGTTGTGCTCTGTTGTGCTCTGTTGTGCTCTGTTGTGCTCTGTTGTGCTCTGTTGTGCTCTGTTGTGCTCTGTTGTGCTCTGTTGTGCTCTGTTGTGCTCTGTTGTGCTCTGCTGTGCTCTGCTGTGCTCTGCTGTGCTCTGTTGTGCTCTGTTGTGCTCTGCTGTGCTCTGCTGTGCTCTGCTGTGCTCTGTTGTGCTCTGTTGTGCTCTGTTGTGCTCTGTTGTGCTCTGTTGTGCTCTGTTGTGCTCTGTTGTGCTCTGTTGTGCTCTGTTGTGCTCTGTTGTGCTCTGTTGTGCTCTGTTGTGCTCTGTTGTGCTCTGTTGTGCTCTGTTGTGCTCTGTTGTGCTCTGTTGTGCTCTGTTGTCTGTTGTGCTCTGTTGTGCTCTGTTGTGCTCTGCTGTGCTCTGCTTGTGCTCTGTTGTGCTCTGGCTGTGCTCTGTTGTGCTCTGTTGTGCTCTGCTGTGCTCTGTTGTGCTCTGTTGTGCTCTGTTGTGCTCTGCTGTGCTCTGTTGTGCTCTGTTGTGCTCTGTTGTGCTCTGTTGTGCTCTGCTGTGCTCTGCTGTGCTCTGCTGTGCTCTGCTGTGCTTTGTTGTGCTCTGTTGTGCCCTGTTGTGCTCTGTTGTGCTCTGTTGTGCTCTGTTGTGCTCTGTTGTGCTCTGTTGTGCTCTGTTGTGCTCTGTTGTGCTCTGTTGTGCTCTGTTGTGCTCTGTGTTGTGTGATGTCATCATATGCTATCACATTCTGTCTGCCTCCCATCCCATATTTTTTCAACTTGCATGTGTGGTTTGAACGTGTGCAAGAATTTGTGTGTGATGTGTTCTGGAGTTTGGGAATGTGTTTTGTGTTATTTTGTTTGAGCAGGTTTTTTGTGATGATAGATCTTGAGAAGATCTTTCCGACGCAACGAGAATCGCTTCAATCGGAGCAAGAACGCGAAAGCTATGAAGATTCAAAGTTCATGAGCTTGCGTTACAATTGCGGCGGTTACAAAGTGAAGTTGTGGGGTGACTCTATTTGGAGTCGGGACCTTTGGGGTTTGGGAATTTCGTCACTCTACTGTAACAGCTGCAAAATTGGTTGGGAACAACCAAGCTAGGTTGGCAAGGGTGGCCAACTTGGTTGGATTGGTTGGGAAGGGACAAATGTCAAAGATGGGGTTCCTATAGGGAGGGAATCTTTGTACTTATGGGGTTTCCTTGGTTGGGGACTCTCTTGGGACCTTCCCTCTCATCCCTCTCTTCCATCCCAACCTTTCTCTTGCTCCTCTAATTCCTTGTGAGATTCTTGAACCTTTATTGAACTCTTGTGATTGAGTTAAGTTCTCCTCCTACAGCTTACCCCCTAATGCGTCGAAAGCCATAGCGTCGCGAATACTCCATCAATCAACGTGATTCAAATTAAGAGCTACAACATATCCAAGTTTCGCGACATTCCAACGGCTTGTGTTTCGTCGACGTCGTTTCTTGTGAAGACGACTTTTCTGTCCAGAATTTTGGATTTATATTTTGAGTAATTCTAGCTCCTAAGTTCACCTAGACTCCGTCCTTAATCCTAACAAGTGGTATCAGAGCCATATTGAGGACATTGAGAGGAGTCTACAGAAGTGTGAAGACCCTTCTAGACCCACCATGGCCTGTGGGTGTGCCTAAGTGGTGTTCTAAAGGTTGGATGTGTCTTCCGCTAAGGGGAAACTCTGCCGAAATTTCGTGGATGCCGATACTTGTGAAAATATCAAGGGAGCTGAGTGTGGACAGCAAAGGGGAGCTGAAATTCGTCATTTTTTAAGGAAAAGATGAATGAGAGGGGAGGAGATGCTAATGGAAGAGGAGCTGTAGCCGAGAAGACAAGTGAGCCGCCGCCATCAAAAGTTGAAGCTTTGGATGGCTCCAACTATGAGGAATGGAGCGGTCAGATGAGGAGTGCCTTCAAACGCTACAAGCTACTGAAGATTGCTGTTGGGGAAGAGAAGGTGCCGGAAGATGGCGAAGCAAGTAAACGGTGGATTGAGAAAATCGCGGTGCTTTTCGACCTCATCCTTCAATCGGTCAACAAGGAGATGTTCGAGCACATCAAGGATCTTGTGGAAGCGGATGATTCGGGTCCAAGGGCGTGGAAACTGCTACGCGATGTGATTCAGCCCAACACTCTCCCGATGGTGATCGTGCTCGAGAAGGAACTTTCTGCCATCTCCATGCGACCAAGGGACGATGTGAAGCCGGTCCTTGACAAGATCAAGGACACCTATGTAAGGATGGCAGCAGCGAGCAGCAGTGTATCTCAGCTGCAGCAGTGCACCAAGATCATCTCGGTGTTGGACAACACTTGGGACAACCTCATCGCCACCCTCAACTCTCAGCAAGATCAATGGACACCTGAGTGGCTAAGGCAGCAGATTCTGCAGGAGGACTTCCGCAGACGCCATGTAGGAGGTGGTGCCTCCACTAAGACTGCTGAGGGGTATGGAGCTGCAGGGCGCGGCAGAGGACGAGGGGGTTGGAGAGGCCGAGGCCGTGGGAGGAGCTTTGGCAGAGGTAGAGGCCGAGGTGACTATAATGAGGGGCATGGGAGCTCCAGTGGCAGGGGGAGTACCAGAATGGAGGGCACCTGCTGGTACTGCAAGAAGGTCGGGCATCCTTGGTTCAAGTGCTTCAGCAGGCCGGATGGGCACCTCCAGGCATGAAGCCGCCCAGTGGTGAACGCGCGCAAGGTGGCGCTGTGCAAGGCTCAGGTGCACAAGGTGAAGGTGCACAAGATAATACCTATCCTGGGATGTTTCTCATGGTTGAGGATGTGCATGGGCATGAGGGTGATGTGGGATCTGTGGGAAAGGTTGTGATGCACCCTCTCACGCACTGGGTGATTGATTCAGGTTGCACCAGTCACATGACCCCACGGGCAGATTTGCTTGATGAGGTAAAACCCCCTGGGAAGATTAAGTATGTGGCAGCAGCGTCATGTGCTTTGCTCCCTGTGATTGGTGTTGGAAATGCCAAGGTTAAGGGAGCTAATGGGGAGCTTGTGGGGCTTGGGAATGTTCTGATGGTTGAAGGTTTGTCTGCTAACGTTCTCTCTGTGCGGCGACTGCAGAAGAGCAAGGCCGAAGTGACCTTTGGACCAACCAGCTGCCGTGCTAAGCTTGGGAAGAAGGTGCTGTGAAGTCTGGAAGAGGAGACCAGCTGCATCAAGGACCTATGGCAGCTGCCCATCATCCCTTGGAATGGGAAGACTCCAACAGAAGCAACGGCAGCAGCGGCAAAGGCAACAGCAGGAGGAGATGCAACTGCACCAACTGATGGGGTCCTGGAAGCAGTCAAGAAAGTGCAGCAGCAGCAGACACATGGTGAGGTGCTTGCTGGTGTGGATGCGAGTGCGGCATGGGCTAAGGCTTCATCAAGGAGTGGTGAGGCCGATTGGGAGACATGGCATGAGAGGCTGTGTCATGTGAACTTCCCTATGCTGCAGAAGTTGGTGAAGGATGGGAGCCTGAAGGGATTGGAGGTCAAGGGAGGAGTAAAGGAGATTGGGAGCTGCCCTACATGCTTGGAGACCAAGTTCTCCAAGTTCCCCTTCAACAGCACTACAGGACCAGCCAAGATCCCACTTGCACTTGTGCACATGGATGTGGTGGGGCCCACAAGAGCCCCTTCCCTCTCAGGCAGCCGCTATTTCTTGACAATTGTGGATGACCACACTCGAGCAGTGTGGGTTTACCCTTTGAAGAGCAAGGGGGAGGTGGCAGTGGCTGTCCTTAAGGAGTGGATGCCTAGAGCTCAGAGGGAATGCGGACACAAGGTGAAGGTGATCCGCAGTGACAATGGTGGGGAGTTCATTGGAGCTGATTTTGAGGGGGAGTTGAAGAGGAAGGGGATCCAACATCAACTGACAGTGCCCTACAACCCGCAGCAGAATGGTGTGGCTGAGAGGTTCAACAGGACCCTGCAGGAGGGGGCACGCACTCTCCTTGGGCGTGCAGGGCTGCCTGATCCGTTTTGGGTGTCTGCACTGAGGCAGGTCGCCCTTGTGAAGAACATGGTGCTGGCTATAGTTGGGGATAAGAAGTGGATCCCGTATACCAAGTGGTATGGGAGTGCTCCAGCTGTGAACATGCTGAGGGCATTTGGGTGCATGGTGGTATTTCATGTGCCTAAGGAGAAAAGGGGGAAGTTGGAGGCTTCTGGAAGATGGGGTGTGCATTTGGGGATTGCAAAGGATCACAAGGGGTGGCTGTTGTGGGACTTGACCACCCAGAAGCTGACTGTGTCAAGGGATGTGAAGTTTCTTGAGTCCTTGTACTACAAGGAATGGAAGCAGCAGCAACAGAAGCTTCCATCTACACCGCTAATTCTGGAGGCAGATGAGTTGCAGCAGCCTTCAAGACAGGTGGAGGTTGCAGTGTCTGAGGAGGAGATGTCTGGGGTGACTGAGGAAAGGGGAGCAGCTGAGGTGGAGCAGCAGCAGCAGCAGCATGAGTCTCCACCTCGAGTTCCACACCCGCCTGAGCGACCTAGGAGGGATGTGCGCCCTCCGGTGAGGCTGACATATGGGGGAAGAGGCAAGCCGAATGTGGTGCATGCTGGGAGTGTGGTTGAGCAGATTGAGGAAGATGAGATCGCTCACTGCTACTGGGCACCAATCCCTGAGCCCAAGACTCGAGAGGAGGCCTTGAATGGACCAAATGGGGAGAAGTGGAAGGCGAGTGAGGATGAGGAGTTCACATCCCTGATTGAGAATGAGACATGGGACCTGTGTGACTTGCCTCCTGGGAAGAAGGCAATCATTTCCAAGATGATCTACAGGCACAAGTATGGACCTGACGGGGAGTTGACCCGCTACAAGTCTGGGCTTGTGGCACGGGGGCTTGAGTAGACAAAGGTGATATTTGGGAATGTGTTTTGTGTTATTTTTGTTTGAGCAGGTATTTGTGATGATAGATCTTGAGAAGATCTTTCCGACGCAACAAGAATCGCTTCAATCGGAGCAAGAACGCGAAAGCTATGAAGATTCAAAGTTCATGAGCTTGCGTTACAATTGCGGCGGTTACAAAGTGAAGTTGTGGGGTGACTCTATATGGAGTCGGGACCTTTGGGGTTGGGGAAATTCGTCACTCTACTGTAGCAGCTGCAAAATTGGTTGGGAACCACCAAGCTAGGTTGGCAAGGGTGGCCAACTTGGTTGGATTGGTTGGGAAGGGACAAATGTCAAAGATGGGGTTCTTATAGGGAGGGAATCTTTGTGCTTATGGGGTTTCCTTGGTTGGGGACTCTCTTGGGACCTTCCCTCTCATCCCTCTCTTCTATCCCAACCTTTCTCTTGCTCCTGTAATTCCTTGTGAGATTCTTGAACTTTAATTGAACTTTTGAGATTGAGTTAAGTTCTCCTCCTACAGCTTACCCCCTAATGCTTCGAAAGCCATAACGTCGCGAATACTTCATCAATCAACGGGATTTAAATTGGGAACGGTAGCTGAAATTAAGAGCTACAACATATTTATGTTTCCCGACATTCTAACGACTAGTTTGTTTTCGACGTCGTTTCTTGTGTAGACGACTTTTCTGTCCAGAATTTCGGATTTATATTTTGAGTAATTCTAGCTCCTAAGTTCACCTAGACTCCGTCCTTAATTAGCACTCTGATGCATCTTCGGCACTAGAACCAGAGGATATGACAAGTGTGGAAGGCTTCATCTGCCGCGTTGGTGGAGTCCCAACAGCTTGGGAGAGCAAGAAACAAGTGGACCAACCTTTGAGCTCAGTGGAGTCCGAGTACATGGCTCTCTTCCGTGCCATAAAAGAGGTTGTGTGGCAGTGGCGTTTGTAAGCTGAATTGGGGGAGGAGTAGCAAGGTGAAGTGGCATTGGGTGAGGAGCATGGTATCCTCAGGTGAAGTGGAGTTGCACTAAGTGAAGACGACGGCGCAGCGTGCTGATATAATGACTAGGAGGCTGGTTGAGCAGCAGCATTGGAAGTGTTGCAGGATCTTTGGGATGGTTCTGAACTAAGGGTAGCAGATTCTACGGCCAACAATCTGAGGGGGAGTTTGTTGGTGCAACCCTATGGCTTGCACTGGACTTGTTGTCCTTGTTCATGTGTGCGCATGCATTGCAAGAATGACTTGTGAGTCTATGGCATTGCTATCTGGTGATTTTGTGTGTGCTTAAATGGTGTATCAACATGTGGTTTGTGTCGGTCAAGACGTTAGCGAGTTTTCACTACTCGCATGTCGTGTCGTCGTTTGTGCGTCGCATGTGTTTTTTCTATTTTGTCGAGTGTGAAGTGTCCATCGTGTCGCAGGTGTGTGCAGCAAGCCCTCATCAACTCAAGAAGAATTTATCTTGCAGAACCAAGACCAAGAACTCAAGATGTCAAGCCCAAGGGACGCGGATAAATATTAAAACAGTGAAAATAGTTTTGCTACTTCATGTAGTGCTACATTTCACTTGGTGCAGCCCCTTGTTGGATTTTTTTCAAGTCTCTTCGTGGTTGGGGACTCTGTGGTGGTGTACCACCAACCTAGACCTCGGCTCTTGGGTCTTGTAGAGCTGGGAACCATCTCATTATCGATTCTTCTTGCTGAGTTTGTACTTCTAAGACTATAGTCGTTGCTATACCCCCTGCCAGTTAAACCGCCATAGCATCATCAAATCATTGTGAAATTTCATGATTCAACTTGCTGCTGGTAGGCGATAGCAAGGCGCTCTAGATTTAAGTTACAGATCACCATTTGAGTCACCGGTCAGATCGGTATCAATATTTGAAGCTGTCTATCGGAAATCTGACTGTGCACTCTACATTATCTCTCATTTTAGGCAGATCTGAGCCTTGTATGATTATAACAGAGCTGAGCCCCAAGTTAACAAGCAAAATCTAGGGGAACATAAAGCGAACTGGGCTTGGCGAACAAATACGTGTGTTTCAGTTCGCATCGAAAAAAGGGGGCCGGGATAGATGGAAGCTACGAAATGACAAACTACTACAAAATAGAGAGACAAGCACAAACAAACATCATGGATTGAGGGAAGCAAAAATGCAGGGAAGTTCGAAAATAGTCGTCAATTTATATATATAAAAAAACCTCGCAATGAAGTCTTGTACAACAAAGTTGAGTCATAATGATACCTTGTATGTAGAAGGATGCTCATGATGATTTTGTTAGAAATATGAACCTAGTCATGCTCTAGGAATATGGACTCAAGTATACAAAGCTTACTCCATGGGGTCACTTCCGAGGGTCCTTGGGTGCCTTGTAAAACCAGCCCCTATCCAAGGGTCCGTATTTGAAGAGAGTAAGCCAAGTATAGCCTTTGTCAAATTCCACTAGAGCCTTCTTCCAGCATAAACGCAGCGGATATATGACGACTTGGTGCGTGTGCAGCGATTCCCTCAGGTCAATACGATGATAGGGAATGTTTCGTTCATAAAAGGATATAATACAAATGAATCACTCATGCATCTTTAGTCTAACAGCCCACCAAATGCAAAGGCAAGGAGCCCACCCATCACTACCTCAATCCACACTCCAAAAGCTTCAGGTGTTGTAACACAAGATCGTTGCCACAACAAACCATACTCTCCTACAATTGCACCCGCAAAATCTGCCCTTTTCACCTGCGTATTTCACCTGAAAGTTGGCCACCATTCACTACACATTTCACCTGCAACATCCCACGTATTTTCACCTGCAAACCCCAAGTGCAAATAGTGTTACGAGTACGTGGACGCAAAATCCACCTAGCGCCACACACCCCAACTTGAAACCATGTGTAATTCACCTGAGCATATCCCCCCCATGCATTCCCTTACAATCTCGTCCCCGTTACTCACTTACCTATGCCTTATACAAGGCTTAGGATGTATATGGTAATTGGCTAAAGTTAAAAACCATGCACCTTGTTAGACCCTTAAAGGGTTCCATAAACCTCCTACAAGACTCTTAAACCAACCTCATAGATCCACCATAAATGCTCCATAAGACTCCCATGTGACTCCCATGTGACTCACGTGGGACTCCCATGTGACTCCCATGTGACTCCCGTGTGACTCCCATGGGACTCCCATGTGACTCCCGTGTGACTCCCACGTGACTCCCATGTGACTCCCATGTGACTCCCATGTGACTCCCCTGTGACTCCCGTGTGACTCCCATGTGACTCTCGTGTGACTCCCATGGGACTCCCGTGTGATTCCCGTGTGACTCCCGTGTGACTCCCTTGTGAGTCCCGTGTGACTCCCGTGTGACTCCCTTGTGAGTCCCGTGTGAGTCCCGTGTGACTCTCGTGTGACTCCCGTATGATTCCCCTGTGATCCCCATTTCACTCCCATGTGACTCCCGTGTGACTCCCGTGTGACTCCCATGGGACTTCCATGGGACTTCCATGGGACGTCCATGGGACTTCCCTCAGCTCTTTATCAGCTCGTCCTCACACAAAGTGTGTAACCATAAGGCTTGCACCTAAAAGGCCACTTCTTCAATGCTGCTTCATCCTCAGCAAATAGGCGGCACGTTGATCTGCAAAAGTATATTTTGCACCAACATACTCCCCCTCAACTTGACGGCTATGCAGCTCCTCCATCGTTCACTCCACTTGCTTCATTCTTGACAATTTTCACCAACACATGCACATGCTGTCGCTTAAGGCATTGCTCCTCCTTGCCTTTCATCTCCGCGTTTCCTTTGTCTATCATCATCATCTGAAGGGACACCTGAAATCCATAATTGGGGCAGAGAATCTGATGCTCCTCCTAGTATTCAGCTTCCGTCTCTGCAGCTGCACCACCTAGCAGCTTCTTCACACCTTGCAGATACTTCTTACCAGTAGGCACCTCATTACTTTTTGCATCTGTTGCAGATGGTAGGAGCTCCAAGAGAACGGTTTCTTTTTTTGCCACCCAAAGCCTTCGCTGCTTCCTTCAGGCCCAGCAGCTCCTTTGACTATTCGTTCATAGCGGGTCCATCATCCTCCAAACCCAACACCTTCTGTAACACCAGATTTCCTTGCACAAGCGAAGGTCTCACGGTTTGCACATCGTTCAACACCGTCTTGGGATTCCCGATAATTTCGGCTTCATTGCCTAAAAATGTTGGCGGCTTCTCATTCACCATATGGCCCTCATCAGCTTCACTGTTCACCTTCACCTTAGCCTTGAATGACCGTTGCTCTTGGTTTGCACTCTTGTGCATGCCAAGCTTCTCATCAGCAACAACAATTTTGTTACTCCCCCTGGAGTCTACAAATATGTCCTTGTCACCCTTCCCTGACCTTTTCTCAGCAGCTTCAAGACAAACCGTGGCATGGTGCAACTGCTGCACCAAGTCCTCAACTACCACTTTCAGCTCCTTCACGACTTCCTTAGCACTTGCAGTACACTCCCCCTGACAGCTGCACTTCTCCACGATTTCTGATGTCATTTCATTCCATGGAAGCACTGGCACATGGCACATCTCCTTGTGCACATTCTTGCTCTCATGCAAGTCCCATAACACTCGGCCATTGAGATGCCCTTTGAAAGATTCAGCTCCATTGGTTGTTGTGCTCACTCCCACAAGCCCCATCTTCCTCAAGGAGATTAGGTTTGCTTTCAGCTCCGGCACCAAGAGCACATCACCGAGGACCATCGGCTTCCCATCAGCTCCCTTGAAGGCCGCTTTGCCGACACCCATGACGTTCATCTCATGCCCACATCCTGACACCCTCTCAGTGATGGGGGACTTGTTGATGCTACAAGGCAGGTCCGCCCTCGGGGTCATGTGGTATGCTGCTCCAGAGTCCAGAATCCAAGTATTGAGGGGATGAGGCTCTGCTTCCTCCTTGGCAGATGCTTCCTCACGTCCCTCTTTCCCTTGCATATGAAAGAAAGCACCTAGAGCCAGCCCACTGTCCTTTCCCCTTCCCTTTGCGGTCTCTGCTACATATCCAGCTCCATTTTGCTGGTTGTCTTTATCCTCATTCTCCTCATGCTCAGGGGTCCACCATTCAGGTCGTGACCAACACTTGAGCCATGTATGTCCCGGCTTCTTACAGTACCAGCAAGATCCCTTGAACCGACGACCTCGCTCTTCATGATCTTGATCAGCTTCTTCATGCTGC